GTATTTAATTAATAGAGAGAGATTAACACATTCTTTTTTGTGTTCTTTTATGAAGGGTTCTAGTAGTTTCATTTAATTGTAGTCCCAATATAAAGGACTGATGTTACTTTACATGTATATGTTCATGTATATAAACATGATATGGAGCTGCTAATTTTAAGTTGAAGTTGTATTTCTGTATTCACTGTAAAGCTATTAGGTTCATTTCTGTGTTAAGGTTTGACACAGGTAGTGAGTTCAGGTGGATTTCACTTGTTGACATTCTTGAAACCTACATGAAGTTTAAAAGTGTTTCCAACTCTGTAATTATATGCTTGTAACCAATGTCTTGCAAAGAATGAGTTTCAACAGCCCAAGTGGCAGCTGACACAAGTGTTGAAAGCATCTACTTCTCTTTGTAAGCAGGAGTATTCCACATCCATCAGTAATTCTCAGATTAATTCCATGCAAACTTAAGGGTGACTTGTGTTGTTAAAAATAGTTTCTACAAAGTCCTTCAAAATTACTTTTGGCAACTGATAAAAACATATAGCACCAGTAATGGTGTTGTTAATAGTAACATCTGCTTACTGTCACTTGCATATTACTGCAGTGTTCGTCTGGGTTATTTGCATATGCACAATACTACAACTTCACCTGCAATATGAAATAAAGATAATAGTCACATATTTTAAAAGGGTGTAAGAATAAATGCAGAAAACTTATACATGTATATCTTTAATTTGCTCCCCTTTACCCTCCCCTCTACCCAACCCCAATAAAAATAAGCTACAGATGTACTTATCTAAATGTGGTGTCCAAGTGATATTTCTTGCTTTTCTGGAAAGGGTTTAAGAAAATGGCAGTTATAAATGGCATGCTTTTCTTCAAGAAACATTGGACCTAAAATAATTCCTTTAACCTGAAAAATTTATTCTTATGTACAGCATTTTTAAATTCTGGTAGAGTTACATATATTTTTGAAGTATGAATCTCTATGAGAACTAGGAATTTAGGAACATGAAAAGCACAGGAAATTCAAACCATTCTTTGTTTCTGCCAATAAGTGTTTTCTATATGTGATTCAAATAGTTGCTTGATACATTTAGGTATTTATTTGGTATGTGTATCAAGAAATGGCCTATTGTTCTTGCTCAACATCTCACTTTGAGCAAAAATGAATAGCCTTTAGTTCTTGGTAGCTCAGAGGGACTTTGTCTGAAGCCACACCATAATTGCCGCCATTGTTTGGAGAACTTTGGGTACAACAATTAATTTCTGTTCTTTCGTGCATAAATCTTTCTCTGGAACCTGGCAATCGTCATGGAAGTTATTCTTTTTCATTTTTTTAATGTCCGGATTTTGACTCAACTGTTTTCAGTTGAGCACGTAGTACTTTATAAATGAGGTGTGACTTTTTAGTTTGAAAGAGCGCCATTGTTTTCAATCATGCTCGCAGGAAACGAAGGTGTGATCTTTTCTGTAGAACAACTATCAGTCTGGAAATGAAATAAGGTTTTGAAGAGTTTTAAATTTTAAGCAGAGTGCAGACATTTTTAGTAATGGTCCAGCTAAGAAGCAGGCAGAAAAACGATAGCCCACGGCAATAGCGTCGGTTAATTTAAGGTACTAAAATTTTTAATCAAATTAAATTTGGTGTTCTCATTGGTCTAAGCAACTAAAAGCGCGAAATTTGAATTTCAATGAAAAATTTAATCAACTTGCCGTCTAACAAAATAAGATTTTGTTTTGTAGACAAAATCATTATGGCTTCAAAAACTA